TTAGAATGAGATAGGATAAAGAATTGCAGCATTAGTTTATAAAGGTGTAAAGCCGGGTCTAGATACTCGAAGAAAGATAGCGTTGTCACTTTATATCTGTGAAAAGTGGAACGTATGGGCTACGGTATATCGTACGATGACATTTAATATAATAACCATTATGAAAAAGAACGTTTTGTCTCAGCTCGACGATCGTAGCGTGACCACTTAAGGGTTAATTCGAAGCTTTGTGCGATTTACATCGCTGGATTTTCTATTCTAACATTAATGAGGGAAGCGATATGAAAGATAGCAAAGCGCGAGCTGTCTTGCCCGAAGCTTTATCAGATTTCGTACGAAGCTAAGATAATTGAATTCCTAGGGAACTAATTATCGCCATGCCACTAATTAACCACATGGTACATCGTAATTGCGCGCGGTAAAGAAAAAAAAATGATAAACGTTAAATGTTTTGTTGAATCGCGAAGCACTTCTACTTCGCGTAGAAGGAGAAGCATCGTCGAGATCTCGTGAGGAGAAAAAAAACGCGTTTCTTTTTACAGATTTATGTGTTACCCGCGATATATTTTTTTTCTAAACGTTGATATCGATTGCAGAAAAATAAATGATCGCGGGAAAAGTTATCTTTTCTTTATCGGTTTGTGAAATTTCGGTTGTATATATTTCGCCGCGATTATTGACAGCGAAAACGTCCTTAAGTAACTCAAATCGGCAAATCGATACGCATCGGTGAAAGTTTTATTATAAATTGTGTAAATCGTCATATTTGCGGCGCGTTAAATAATAATCAATCTATCTCGATTATATTTGACGCCTGGTGGTTCCTCCCCTTCCCGCATCCCCCTTCTGGTGAACGAGTTTTATTTTTATGTCGACACTAAATGTCAAATGAAAATTTCGACGCGAAAGTTTGTTTCGAAATAAAACATTATCTGACGTGAAGAGCTCGCGAACATGCTTACCGTTTTTCGAAGCGAGTTTGCTCTGCTATCAAACGTCATCGAGAGCCGCAACTTTTTCTTCGCGATTACTCTCCGATTATTTACCATCGGAAAGAAAGATGTGTTTGCAAGAAACGCAACGTACGTATTAGATTTAATTAAAGATGAGCGATCGCGATACGAAGCTATGACGTTAAGTGAGAAGTTTATTTTCGTAGTGACGACAAGTCCCAAAGTGATACCGAAGGCGAGATCTGTTTTTTCACTTGAAATCTTTCCAACGGACTTTTTCGCGTATTGCACCGCTCTCGCGAAAGATTAATAGCCGGATTGTGGGACGCCTCCGATATTTCTTCGCGCGATACGTTATAACGATTTTGAAATTGATTTCGACACCGCAGTGCAACGGAAAGCGAGGCTGAAATGCTAGGGGAAAACCGAAAGAGAAGAGGAGAGGAGTGAGAGAGAGAGAGCAACAGAGAGAGGCCGAGGGGCCAATGTTGTCGGGTTATTGGTGTTTACCTCGTCGGCTCGCGAAATTCGCCGACGGCGGCATCTCCATCACTCGGCAATTTTCTGAATCCTCGCAACGCGATCCGTCGGGCTCTCTCGCCGATGTATTTTGCCGATTTATATTTTTCAAGCGGAGATAATCGCTGACGGTATCGCGAAGCGAATACGCTGCGTCTTGTCCTCCTCCGTCTTCTCTTCTTCTCTTTTTCGTCTCTCCTTTTCTCTCTCTCTGCGTTTTTTTTGGGTAATTTATACCGAGACGCTTAAACGCTCGCCTTGACCTATCTACTTATAAATGGTGGTCGTTTGTCAGGCTTTGCTAAATTTCCCTCGGTTCCCCGATCCTGCCGAGCCGGTTACAGCTAACGAAACCGAAACAGCTTTGCGCGCACGAGCGAACGAGCGAGCATGCGTCTCGTCGTTTACGCAAAAACGCCATTTTCATATGTCAGAATTCTCGCATATTACATTTAATCCCTCGTGTGTGACAGCGTACATTCGTGTATTAACTCTAGGATGCATTATTCAATTTTTGTTCGCGATGGACGTTAAGCGCGACGTATAACTCACCACTTAAAGTAGTCGTATGAATTTTCATGATGTGTCATATTCGTGTATCACGCTTGGTATAACACACATATTTGATGTAGCGCATGCGCGAAGAAATTAACTCTCGACTGGATTTATTTAACACGCAAGAAAAGAGACGAATAATTCAACCGCGGAAAGATTCTCGCGACGACGACCGCTAAAAATTCCGGTCCACTAAAAATTCATTTACGTCGCTCCCTCTCGGTATCACCGGAAATATCTCTCTTTCATGTCAAAAGCCGGTCCATTGCTCGTTGCGCGCAACATCTCAGTGACAGTCCGACATCGTCGCGACGTCGCTGTGTAACTTCTCCGTTTCGGTCACAAATTAGCGCCGAGCCGCGGTCGCAAATAGCAATTGTATTGTACATGAGCGCGCGTGGTGCTCGTTCGTTTCTCAGCTCGAACCGGCTTTTGTCGCTCGAATCTTCCTTGGCGACGGTGACGGGAAGACGACGAACACGACGACGAGCTCCGTCGTCGGTAAGACGTTCGTCGCGCGAGTCTCTCTCCCGTGATCGTGTCTTGAGACACATACAGCCTCACCACACCCCGCTCACACTTCCTGCTACCCCGTATAAGATATTCCGCTCTCGGTTGTCGAGTGATATCTTCATACCGTCGTGACGGTGAATTATTGTCCACGGCCTTTTTCAGTCCTCGCGGCTGCTGGTGGAGATTCGCATTCTAGGCGCGACACGTTCGCGCGCTACCAGACAAGGATCACTTTTGCGTCGTTTTTCGCGAATAAATGAAAACTTGTGCGTGTATCCAGATGAATAGAGAAACCGCAAAATGGGAATACTCGCGATGGCCGGAGGACAATTTATCGTGTGTGTGCGCGCAATATCTCGTGAAAAAAAAAAAAAATTATTTCTGAAAAATGCTTCAACAGATGTTACATCTGCTGTCTGTATTTCGAATTTGTTAGAAAGCAAACAGCACACACCTTTCTCAATTCTTTTAAAAAAATATTGAGTTGCAAATTCGTGTTCGAGACTTTATGAAAATGTCCTCAATTCGATTTAACTCACAAATCACCGTTTTGTAAAAACAAAAAAAGCCGTATTTACGTAAGAAACACAAGAGATATTGAACGCTCGAAGGGATGCGCGATAAAATATCCGAGAAAACAGCGATAAAGATATCGACTATATTAATTCGGTTCGGTTCTCGCAGCAATTTATCGCCAGCATTTTTGCGATACGAAAACGAGGACGTTGCGCGCAGCTAAAAAGATCGAATTTTAAGCTCGCCATGCTTGCATTATGCAGATTGTACACGTGCGACTGCGTAACGCACGTATCGAATTAATTCAAACGCGATAGTAGGACAAACGGATTCAATTTTCATTGGTCATATTTAAACTCGTTTTCTGCAATTTTGACGCGCGAATCACACAGTTGAAAAATAATAAAAATAATTTATGCGACAAAGCGTAAAGAAAAATTAAATAAAAAAGAAATGAAGAAAAATTATTGATTGCGGATTGCCTTCGATGTTCTTGCACAGTATCACTTCGTAACGAACACAATTGCTCTTTTCCGGATTGCATCGAACACACATTCCCTCATCCTCCTCCTCCACCCCTCTCTCTCACTCTTTCAGTTGGTAACCGCGAATTCCCCGTTTCTTGTTTCCGCGACGGAATTACGCGGCATTCCGAGCTCGATGCTAGAATTAAGCAATTAGCGATAATAATCGGCTTGCTTTCGTTCCTGCGCAGACTGCCGTGACAAGCAGCGGGTTAGAGGACTCCGGGAAAATCATTGCTTCCGTCCCCGATTGACCGACCGATCGCGATCGATCGAGGCGAGTCTCTCCAGGCTTTCCACTCGTCAAGCTATGTGTATACCGGGAGGTAACCCTGTCGATACGCTCGCCGTGTGCTCGAATTTGTCCGGCAATTAGCGCACTTTTGCTTGTCATCCATCAGTTTTGCATCGGAACGGGAACTTTATTGCTGGAAATCACGAGGCCTTGCCCTTTTTTGCGGTGTCCTGGGAAGGTCGGCGCGCGGCTAGACGTAATTGAATACGCGGTTATTTATTACCGGTCATACGGTGGTCGCGCGTAATTAATTGTCTCTCTCTCTCTCTCTCTTTCTCTCTCTCTCTCTGTGCGGCAATTCAATCTTTTTCTTTCGATAACGCGGCGAAGGAAAAAGTTGTCAATCGCGAATCTATGCGGGAATTCTAACAGGAGAAAAAGAGAAAGAAAGAGGTTCGGTGATTTAATAATGAAAACAAAAACCTGTCTTTTAATTAAAATAAAAGCTTCTAACTTCTTGCATATAAATAAAGAACATATGTTTGACATTTTTTCAATAAAGCTAAAAGGTATAAAAGAAAAAAAAACACGCGATGTCGATAATGCGCGCACACACGTGACGAAGAGACTTTTATTTTCTAAACCTAATTACATGCGCGAGACCGCAGAGACCGCGGTGTGACCGTATCTCGCAATCTGGTTTTAGAATACACTGTCCTTAGAAGCGCCAGCTGATGGCCGTCCCACGAACTTCAGACGCGTCCTACTAACTCGCAAAACTATGATTGTTACAAGTTTGTTTAAAAAAAGACGTGACATTCTAGCAGTGTTCCGTGTCACCTCTTGAACATTCTCAACATTTTATGCGAGCGCTTCAAAGTCCTTGCGTCAATCGTTATAAGCGTGTGATTCTAAATTTATGAGCCAACGTGCCAGAATAGACAGTGTCTATATTTAAATACGAAAGAAACCCGAGGAATATATTGTGTTATTACAAAGTAGTCGTGGAAGATAATTGAAAAAAAAGAATACGCGTTTTAGCTTAGATTTTAGTTACGTTGTAAGCGATGCACTTTGCCTACGTGAAAAGAATGTGACGAGAAGCAGAATTTTTCCGACAAGTAATTTTTCTTTCGCATTGCACATATTTCGATGTTACTAATTTTTTTTTTTGTATATTTGCAGTACGATGACGGCGGGCTGCACAGCGGCTACCTCGAGGGCGGTGGTGGCGGTGGAGGCACAGGCCTGTACGACCCACACGGTAGTGCCCGGGGTGTTCCCGGTTTACATCACAGTCCTCACCTCGGGGGTATGGGTCCGGCGCACCCCCAATATCCACCGCCCCCGCCTCAGCCACCACAACATGTTCTCGCAGCTGCAGCGGCGGCTGCGGCCTCCGCGGTACCCGACGTCCACAAACGCGATAAAGACGCGATTTATGGGTAAGTGAAAGTTTTTTTCTTCAGTTTTTCTCATATGTATTTTTATTTACGTATATATTACACATACGTATTTATACACATAATGTGTGTAGATTATGTATTTCTGTCAGAGAAAATGCGTGATGCACGCAAACCTCATCGCAAAGCAGCGACGAAACTCGATGTGCGAATATATCTCGCGATAACAAACACCATTGCGTCGTTTAAATGTGGCTTATCGCGAAATTATGCACATTTTTGACCGCCGGTTCTCATATTCGCGCGACATAAATTTGTGCACTTTGGAGTCAAACGTCCATGTATGATCACGTTCATCAATCGTGGTAATCGCGCCGGTGATGCGCGATATTATAGAACTTCTATTAATTTATTTTACACATTTTAATTTGCATGTGAGAATAATGCAAGAACGTCCTGTGTGTGCGTAAACGTATTTTGCAAACGGAATTGAACTCGATGAAAAACAGGTGCGAGAACGAACGCTGGACAGACTTGAAATGCACATAAATTCGTCGTGGCCATTTGATTCTCTGAATCGGTCGTACCCGCGACCTGCCTCAACAACTCCCGTAACGGACAAGTCTGGATCGCCACGGTTTCTTCCCGCGCTTTCAAAAAAAGACACGATCACTTTTTCTTTTTTTTTGTTTTAAGCGATTGTCATCTTGAAAAAAAATTACAACACCAGTAAAATTCACTTCATTAAAACATTTCGATAAATTTTGCTATTTGGAAACACTTATCATCTTTGAAGGTATCCTTGTATCTTTAACTTATTTTTTAAATTATGTTTCTAATGAAAGATTTTTTCATAAAATGATAACACATGTAAAGAAAAATACAGTGTGTGAAAAAGTTAAAGTAAAATACTTTCTAATGACATGTAAAAACAATAATCTTGACAGCTGCGTGTATTAATTTCGATAACAAGTAATTAATAAAGTGTGCACACACATTGTATTTAAAAATTACTAACTTATGGACTCCGCATTTTGCGTGTTAAAAAATATGCAATTTATAGACTAAAGTTAGTACCGTTAGTAAGAAAATGTCAGAGTTTCGTGTGTCACGATATGTTTTGCAGAAATTCTAGCTGTTAAATAAAAATCTAGAAATGTAGAAAAAATATCAATGGTTTTATACTGGTATCATTAGGATCCTCAATCTCGTATAATATTGACGTTACATTTTGAAGTGGCGTGTCCAGTTTTCCGTATCACGCGCGATATCGTTTTTGCGATACATCGCAAAGTCGGACGGAATATCATTACCATATGGTTAACTCGACAGAGATAACCACGTTTCAACGAGCTGTCCCCGGCCTAACGATACTTTATGTTCTTCCGCAATGACAATACTCGCCGTGTTGTACTTTTGCACGTATAGGCTTTTTTTTTTCGTTTTGTTTTTCTTTTACACACTTGAATTTCCTGCTCGACACGGTTGTAATGTAATACGTACACACACTTGCACACAAAAAAAAAATGTACGACTGAGATTGTACGTACGTATAAAATGAATTGATAATATGTAAATATACACGTGTACAACCGTCAAGATGCGTAATAACATCTTCCTGATTTTTTTATGTCTCACTTTTATACTCCGTTATTAACATTCCCGCATTGTTCTTTTTTTACGTCATCGCGGCGATCTCCGCGGTCATGCAGCAGCTCGTGCCACGCGCATCGTCGAGCTGAAACCCGTCAATTGGCCGTTTTACGAAGCGGCTCGGCGCGGTCGTGTTCCGCGTGATTTATAGGCGCGAGATGCCCCGATTTCTGGTGTACCGTCCTAGAACGGGAGCCTCATTATTCCGTGCACCCTATAATTTGTCCATTCGTCGTGTGCCCCGGCCCGACCCGAAGCGGAGATTCCACAACTTTCTCGGGACGCCGCCGTGCCACGCTGGAAGGCGCGCTTTTGGCGCGCGATTACACGCGCATGTAATTTTATTTACGCAACGCTCTTTTTGATCGCGAGATATATCTTTGATTTGATGTCAAAAAATTGACGAATTAAATATCGAATATTCTCGTTGTGCGGAACAAAAAGAATAACAAGATCAAAGTTCGTCTAATTTATACATAATTGTTTAGAAATTAGTGAATAGTTTTAAAAATATTTCTTTTTTATCCGAGATTACTCTCAAATTGTTTATATGACCTCGGACACGTCACGTGCACTTTCTTGCTGCGTTAAAAACTTACTCGCGTCTATGTATACATATATGGAATAATTCTGATTTGCTGAATATGTTTTTGGCGAGATCGGATTGAGTTGTCTGATAGCAGAATCCACGACCATTTTTGTCCCATGTTTCGTCCGAGTCGATTAATTCGTCTATCAAAGCTTTCCACGTGCGAGAAGATTGATGTTGCTTGCGCTCGAATGTAATGAGACACGCGCGTCAAAAAGAGGAGAAGTCAGGGACGTCTCTTGAAACGCGGACACATCATCGGAATGATTTTTAAAGAATTAGTAAGATACACACGCAAATGCGTAAATCTCTATAAGAATTTTACTTTTTAATTAAAAAAAAAAAAAAACAAAAAACAAATACAATGAAAGAAAATTTGTTTTATATAATATTTATTATTTTAAATATTTTCTTTGAAAAAGTTCTTCTCAAGAAATGTTTTATCGCTCTTTAAAACTTTTCTCATTTACACGCGCATTGTAAAAATGATTTGACATTTGATCGAAAACTCTCTTGTGCTGTTTTTACCGCGCGGAATTATTGTCCGACTTGATCGATGAGCATTGCTAATTGATTTATGCAACGCAGACGTTCATATTGCATAAGCAACGAATCTCGCAGAAATTAGCCATTACCATCGGAATGCTTTACAAGCGGTTTATAAATGACAGCAAATTGAAGTAATTACATGCTCTCATTTTTATCCTCAGCTCTCTCTCTCTCTCTCTCTCTCTCTCTCTCTCTCTCTCCTGAACTCGAGACTTTTTTTCTGGTTTGCCATTTCGAGGCACGATGACTCGCGTTTTCACGCTTGATTATTACAATTACTCGCGCCTCCATTATTACCGTCGTTATCATTCGCATATTCTCGGCGAAATCACAGGGACGTACTCACGGAATTAAAGCGCCGTTAACGAAATTAAGCCGTGCGCGCAAAAACGCGACGCTGTCGTTTAGCGAATCGTAAAACCGCGTACCGCGACGTAAAAGTGACGATATCCGCGCGTAACAATAAGAGCCGCCAGAAAGAGAGCGGGGGAGGCGGATAGAACGCGGGAGAGAGCGAGAAAGAGTAAGAGAGAGGAGGCGTCGATTCGAGGGGCGGAAACCGCAAAACCGCAAACATCCCCCGTACGGCGTACAACGGCCCAATCATATCATTACCTTTTGCGGTCCCGTCATTCTGACACCTCGTTTCTGACCGTCGTTTGTCATCGGCGTTGCGCTTTGTTGTTACGCCGCGCGCGACCGCGCTTTCAAGAAACGCGGCACTTAAAGCGCGCCCCATTCAATCGCGGTGACCGTAACGCGTTCGGTGGTTTTCCTGACCGCGTACAAAACGGGAAACTGGTGGGCACAGGTGGGGAAAGATTGAGAAATCCATCGCCAAGACTGAGAAATTGACGAGATCGGCGGCTTAATTATCATCCGGGGCATTAGCAAATCGCTCGATGCTTTGTGTGCACCTCGCGTGCACTTTTTTTTTTTTTTTTTTTCAATATTTCCTAATCTTCTTTCGAAGATGATCTCATGAATCGCGTTAGCCGCTCCCGGGATCTCATTAGAGGCGTAAAGAGAGCCGGGAAGAGCTTTCAGTGCGGTCGAGAGCGCGCGAAAAATCTAAATTAACAATTACCGCGCGACGTTGCGTTAAATCGATTATCCGCCGGTGGACGGTCGGTGCCGGAGAGGAGGTCGAGTATCCCGAGGAGGGAGACCATGCGCGGCAGGTATAGGCGATAGAGATATGGACAAGGAGAAAGCGGGAAAAAAAAGAGCACTAGGTGAGGCCGCAACGGCGGCGGCAGCGGCGGGCGAAAGGGGTGCGGGTCGACCGGGACTTTTTTTGTGCCTGGTCGGTACCTCTCTCGGGCACCGGCTAGGTCGGCGTGTACGGGAGAGTACGTTGCTCGCGGCGGCCACGTCAATTTGTCGAAATTCGTTCCGAATCGTTTTATGTCCGCCACGCCGCGAGACGCGACCCGCTACCATGCGCACACAACGCCTCCACCTTGGCGGCTACCACATCCGCGCCGTTGTATCAGTCTCTCTCTCTCTCTCTTTTTCTCTCCTTCTCTTTCTCTCTTTCCCTCTCTTGCTCTCAAACCTCTCGAGAGTGCCGAGACCCCTCTAGAGTTTCATCGCCGTCTTTGAAATTGTATAACCCCACGGGACAACGCCGCGAGCTAAAAAATCCGTGTCAATGGTCGCTTTTAACTGACGTCGTCAAACATCCAGTGCGCACACGAGAAATTAACCTGATTTTTATTTGGTTTCGATATTTGACGAGCGATTTGTTTGCATCGCGCGTTATACTATATATGTATATATACATTTGATAGAACGCAAATTGTGTAATTGTTTGACTGTCAGTTTTGTGTGTGTGTGTGTGTGTGTGTAGACAAGTATCGGTAAAAAAAAAAAAAAAAAACAAAAAAAACAAAAAAAAACAAAACAAATCAAATCTCTCAAATGTACGTTCATGCAAATTAAATACGTTGTTTTCCGTGACAATTTATTTCTCATAGATTGTATTTCAGATTACACGTTACAACTTATTTCGTTTCTTGTTCACTTGTGTCTCCTTAAAGAGGGAATTTACATACGCCTAATTGCGCCTGATAAATTCCAACGTTAAATGTTAGTTGGCAAAAAAAATTAGAAGTTGATGTCTAATCTTTATTTAACTTGAAAATGAGACGGTTTTTGCATATATATGGAATGTGTTATCGATTTCTTTTTCTAAGATTGAACTTTTTTCGTACGAGCGATTCGACAATGTAACGAGTTAATCGCGAGATGCAAAGTAGTAGTCGGAGAAGACAAAAAAATGCGCGTGCATCTGTGCTCGTCATGCCATTACACAAATGTCGGTATACTTGTGTATCGCACATCACGTGTAAATAATTGAACACAGACTTGAATCTAGAACAGTGCGCTACGTCAACTTAAAACTTCGATATTACAAGACCTTTGCGCTCGCAACGTTGTTGCATCGGTACCCGTCCTAATCTTATCTTATCCTCCTAATGCCGTCGGTGGTAAGCGTACTTTTGTATGTAACACGCGCTTATGGAAGCTAAAAGAATATCATTGCGTATGTATCAAGCGCGACGCGACAACCTCTTAGGTTTTCTTTTTCAGTCGATTTCAAGGACTCTGAATAACATTATGTTCCTTTTTTCAGTGCGACATTTCTAATTATACAAATTATTATTCTACACATGTTACTTTTTTTTGCCGCTTAAAAACTTATAAAATTGAATATCTTTTGATTTCTACTAATGACTAGGATATCTTGTCATATTAAACGCGTGTCTCAATCTATCTCGATTAATATCAGTATGTATCTAGCGTGTGGAATACTAACAAAGAAAATAATAGTTCGCGGTAGCATTTATTATTTAACGTAGTCCACCCATTGAATTTGCAGTTTTTCCAACGAGCGCGTATTACTACGCGGATAACTCCGGCTGTTATTCTCAAAGGGGGACATGTTCTTGTATTATCGATTCTGTGTCATTATTCAATTTGTCCGTGTATATACCGCACGTGTCAGTGGAACGAATAAACCGTGAATTACGCTTAAAAAAAAAAAAAAAAAGTACAATTCGTACACGTGTATAGAAAAGTAAGAAGTGTTTTTCGATCACTATCGATATAACGTGAATTAAATGGATATGAGTGAAAAAATTCTTTTGTAATAATGAAAATAATACAAAAATAATACAAAATGTAAATTTCACGTCTTTGATGAGAGAAATATAAATCGTCGACGAATGATATGCGAAAAAAAGAAATTGCATTACTTTGACAAAAAAAAAAAAAATATAAAATAGTAATGACAAACATGCACATGAGCGTGTAATTAATACCTCGATATGAGAACAAAAAATCGTATTTGCAACACAAAAGTGAAATCAGCTCGAGCGTTCTCAAGGTTCGTAACGATATGTATACATATTTTTTTTTACAAAGTAAAAGTGACGCGAATTCTAATGGTCTCACGAAAGACGTTGTTTTTTCTACGCGCGCAGCGGAAGAGTCCGCTGCTTTTCGGTTAAGCGCTTCACGCCGAATTTCGCTTCTTTTGCCATCACGGTTGTCCGAGTTAATTGCGTCCTCGTAGCGCTAACAGGCGGCCCACCTCGTCGGTCACGCGCGGATAAGAGAAAAACGTTACGCGAATAAAACACGCGGGCCGGTCTACCGCCGCGCGAATGGGACTTTGTGTCGATCCGGATCGCTTTTTCGCGTGGGACACGCCTCGGCGATTCGAGAAACGCTCTTCACGGACATCCGGCGCACGGACGTTCAGAAACTCGTATATAAAGGGGACTTTCTTAGGCGGGAGAATCGTATGTGCTTGTAACGAGCGTGCCAGCGTTCTGTCGTGTTTTCAACTTCTTATCAACGAGAGAAATTATTATTATTATACCGTTTTCGCGATATGTAAGGAACGCGCGTCTATTAATTATCGACGTCGATTAATTACATATCAAGAACAACCAATCAAATTCGCGTTCCGCTCGAGATTTTCACGCCTCTTTTCGCGAGCACCACAGCGTTCGTTATATAATATATCGCAGGACATTATCGCATAATAATAATAATTTATCGGTTTTCTTCGCGGATCGAATCCGCTGATCAGAAGCTGGAGCTCGGATTGCGACGTTAATTAACATGCCTGCCGAGATCGGCGCTGCTTTGCGAGAAACACGCACACGCTCGCCCATGCGTAATTTCCTTTTATCTTTAAGCGCCACTTTCTCGCTTCTTCTTTCAGACATCCTCTGTTCCCACTTCTCGCACTCATATTTGAAAAATGCGAGTTGGCGACATGTACGCCGCGCGAACCAGGTGTAGCTGGCGGTGACGTCTGCTCGTCAGAAAGCTTCAATGAGGACATCGCCGTTTTCTCAAAACAGGTAAGTCACAATTACATTAAATGTCATGGATGTATCGAATATCGCATCGGACAATTGTTCCTGTTTATTATTTACTTGAATTTATTTACGATGTATCTAAAGTACAAAAATAGCAACAATTATATATAATTTATTGAGAATGTTAATTACGGATAGAGAGGGAGATTTATATATAGAAGTGACAGAATGTTCTAAATAGCTCCATAAATAACACAAAAGTTGTGCGAGACATCCTTATACAATAAAATGCTCGTAAAACTTTTGCGGCGGCTGTTACGACGAACTGTCGCGCGATTCTTCATTCGTGAGAGAATGTCTCGGAGCGATTTTCGAACGTTCGCATGAGTCACGGAGGAGAGACGCGCGTCGTGAAACAGTAGATCGCGACATGACGAGAGATCGGGTCTCGAAAACGAAGAAGAACCTTATTCGTGGGACTTATTTTTAGGATTTTTACCGTTGAAAAGACCCGGGGTATACACACGAGGCCCTAGCGCTAGTAACGAGGCAGAAGACTCACTCGATCGTTCGCGCGAGCCCGCGTTTTTTTCTCTTCTCCTGCTTCCTATTTTTTTCTTTCCCTCCAGCGCGGCTCACCTGAGGCAGGTCCCCCCAAGGACACGCGTAGGTAACCCGAGAGCTCACGGGGCCGCATGCCGTGAAACGATTTAGACCTTTTAAAACATACCATTTCGCCGTCTGCGCGCCCAAATCGCGCACGTAGATCCGTTCCGAAGGTCTCGAGAGAAGTACCGCTCGAGTTCGCGTTTCCGCGTGCTTTCTACAGACATTTTGCTCCCCACAGAGGAATCCCGTCCGAATGGATAACTATATTTTCCAGAACTACTTTGAATATTTTGTATTCCTAAAGTTCACGTTTTTATGTCTGAATTCACTTGGAACATAATCTAATTTAAGCATTAATTAATTTAAATTTATTTAATTTACCAATTAAAAAACTGTGTGTGCGTGTAGATATTAAATTTTATTTATGCGAGTGATTTTTGTCATTCAACCGGGTAACGCGGATTGAAACGGTTAGTTGAAACGAACAATAAAATTCGCGCGCGCGCGTGTTCTTTTTACGTAATTTTCTAGAAAAAATACAACGGCACTTACGACGGTTTAAGCTGAGACGACAGAACGGCAATAAAAATGTTATCGTGTTTGCGATGAAACGATGCAAACGAATTCAGCACATTTAGATTGAGGAATATCGGCGCTCCCCGATCTGCACCGTTACCGCGTCGCAAGCTATACACATATTTTCATGTGGCGTTTATTATATATGCATTCGAGTCACACACCGGTACGGTGGGATTTATCGTACGATAATTAAAATTCCTAAACGAGGTAGCGCGGGAGATAACACTCTTCAGAGTGTCATTTGCAATGGAGTACAATAGATACGCGATCACGAGAAGTTTGCGATTGCCGCCAACCACACACACACAAACACACACACACACACACACACACACACACACACACACACGTCACGCGATCGCGCTCATACGTCACTAACGTTGGAAGAGAGAAAAAAATTCGTCGTCTTACATTCTAAATATAGGGCGTCAGTAACACAGTAGCAGCGGCTTTGCGCAGCGCTATGCCGAGATAACGATAAGAGTTAAGCCCCGGCGTAAGGTAGGATAAAATGTTGTGTGTGTGTGTGTGTATATATATATATATGTGTACACATTGTTTTGTCATGTTGATGCCGAAAAGTTCCAGACGATAAAATACGCTCCAAATTTCCGGCGTATCGAGATTGCTGAGATAATCGAGTACGCGTTGTTTTTTTAATTTTTTAAAATGTTTTTCCCCACGACGCAAATTGTATTTGTCAGAAAAAAAAAAAAAACAAACCGCACCAATCGCAGTTAGATTTTCGAAAATCGCGATCTCCGCGTTTTTCGCGTTATTTGTTCGAGAGAAAGTTACGGTTGCGGCTATTCTGGGATACGTTTTCGAAGAGAGAATCCGTTATGAAACTGACATGACATTTGCATCTTAATATAATGCCGCACCATATAAGGTGCATTTCAAAGCGCGCGTACCGACGAAAAAAAAAAATGTTTCTAACTACGGAACGTATTCACGATGTTTTCTCGCGATGACGTCGCCTCTTCTTTCGCGGATAACTTATCTGCTTTCTCCTTTGGTTAGCTGTCAGTTCGAAAAATTGACACTCAAATAATAGCTTTCCACATATTAAATTTTAACGATTTCGATAATAATAACATACAAGTAAACGAACAATGAAAAGAAGTGGAGTGTTGAAATGCTGTATTTTTTTTATCTTTGAGAGCGCGTGTAAAGTCATTGTTTAAACGGAAAATCTTGACTACTCGAGATATTTACTTTCGATTTATTGATACTTAACCGATACTCGATCGTTATCTCGATCAGATATTCTCACGTTTTTTTACGAGTAAATTTTTGATACCTATATCAACGTGATTCTACACAGGAAAGTGTTGTTTTGAATTAAATATTATTATGATATTTTCAGATCTGAGTTTTTCGCGAAACACAAAAATCAAAATTTCCAAAAATTGTTAACATTATTTGCTTTTGGTCAGTAAGATAAAATAAATAGGAAATATAGATAGTAGTACACGTTTTTAGTAAACAACTTTATTAAAATTAGCTTTTTATACGTGTTTTTCTTTTAACGTTCAGATATTCTTGTGTTGTTTTCTGTGACGTTTTCCGCTTGCAAGCTAAACATTATGTTTACGTACATATCGATGCATAGACTCGGTCATAGTTGATATCGCGTTGGCCTGTGCACGAAACTCGGTCGATCTCGTATTTTAACTTACATTAGCCATACAATTGATCCCTTCCTTCTCCCTCCTGTGCCTGCACGCTCGGATGCCAATAAAATCGCGTATCTGAAATTCGCGACTAACGGCGGCTTAATGCGACACAGAAGGCCGCTCGCGCGTCCACCGTCGCATACGTGTTCGCGTTAATTCCGAGATTACGACCGCGTACCGGAGTAGATAAACAAATTATGTTCGGCGGATAATAGTCTCCGCGCGTCGCGGGTCTTCTCTCTCTCTTTCTCTGTCTCTATCTCTCTTTCTCTTTTCTGTCTTCTCTCTCTCTCTCGATTATACCCGCATGCCGATACAAAGTCACGTGCGCCGCGTGGATGGATTTTTGTTTGCGCGTTAATTGTGCATACGAGCGATTGCACTAATTCGAGGTCATATGTATTTAGCTATTGAATTAAATTCGGCGCGTATTGGTCGTTACCTCTGTAATCATTTGTGACTACTTTCTTTGAGAACGTGCCGACTCGCTTATCGCGTATTTCACTCGTATTAACGAAGCATCGATATTCAAGCAGGCATCGGCCTTTGAATACCGCGTCACTAGGCGCGCGTAGGTCTCTCACACGTGACGATGTACATCGGCAGATAAGCAGGTGACAATCCTCTTGCGGCGGTTTTTGAGGCGTGCCGTGCGAGACGTGCCCTCGTACCCTCTCACCATAGCTCCCCCTCTCTTTACCACCCCGCGTATATAAGGTACGTACCGCCGCGGCGATAGGGCTGTACGACAAAAGGGCCGCACGCTGTGCGCGGGATTATTTTGCGTTTCGTTGCGTGCGGTGCCATGCGTGCCGTGCATGCACGCATGCGCTATGGCCGCCGCAAACGAAACGCATGCGCGATCTTCAGTCGGGGCCCGACTACAGCGGCCGCCGAGTCGTGAGAAGCGCCGAAGCGTGGAGAGTCGAGCCGGCGATGGCAGCGGGAAGGCTAGTGGGGCGTTGAGAAGGGTACGGATGAAACGAGAGAGAAAGAGAGAGAAAGAAGAGAGGAGGGAGGTAGAGAGCTGCTCATTTTCTGCCATTGTAAATTGATCTATTCAATGGGTCCACTATTATCCCCCCCTGTGGTCCACGCATCGTGTGCCCTATGGGGGCCACGATGTTCCAGTCTTCCGTGCCCCCCTTCTGCCCTTCTGTGTGTTCGTTCTCTTCTTCCTCCCCTCACGCTCGCTGTGAACCCAACGTTCTTCTTTCTCTTCCCTGATTTGCGCGCGCACTCCTTCGACGTCGTTGCCCGGCTGCAACGTGCCATCGGTCGTACCCCGCTGCGCCGCGTTGCACCGTGCCTTTGTTGTGCCCTTTTTTTTCACCCGCCAAAAGAGGCATCTCGTTTTTTTTTTCCGCGATCATCGTCGGCGATCGCTTCGAGAAATTCACTCGCGCTTCATCGCCTCGCGAACGTGCACGATGCCCGGTAAATCTCGCTAGTAAAATAAGCAGTAGAATTTTTTTTAACAGTTATTTAGTTTTGCGTAATTTTATCACATAAAATAGTTTCGATACTGGTTACAAATTGTACAATTGTAATTGTGCGCACATTTTGTTACGCGCAATTCGTTCGCGCGAAATTAATTTTCTTTGACGAATTTAATCGTTTACGCACCGCAAAATACGACCGTGATATATCGCTGTGCTATTAGCCACGAGCGAAACGTTTTCCCCGGTAGTGTAATTGCGTTTTGGACAATGAGTTAAAATTGCCGAAGCGTTGAACGCAGCGAACGTGGGCGCGCGTACAGTCGTCGCGATGTCACGATTCTCTGTTATACCCACACGATCACACGGAGAGATCTGAGAAGGATCCCTATCGGGATTTATTGGTACAATTAGGATGCACCTCCGGGAGCATTAAACCCTCATAAAGCGCCACCCCCGTGCTGATGCGCTTCTTAATGGCGACCACGTGACAAACTTGTTCCTATTCGAATGCTAGCTGTCCGTTCTTTCGTCTTCACGACATTCGTTCACTTTCCTCCGCGCTCAAAGTACGCATTTCGAAATATCAAGTCATTCAGTGTAAATTTTTACGCATAAAAGAAATAGCAAATAAATTGGGTTTTTCTTCTTAAATGAGATTTACATAAATGTTATTTATTCAATATATACAGGGTGTTTCAGAACTATGGGATCAAACTTCTAAGGGTTATTCAGTGCAACAGTAGAAAACATTTGAGTATAGGGACCCATGTCCGGAAAAGTGTCACTACCGCACTACGGCCCTAAGACGCGTTAAAATTTAGAAAGACGATGAATTGCCTAAATAGGATTTAATGCATTTAATNTGTCCGGAAAAGTGTCACTACCGCACTACGGCCCTAAGACGCGTTAAAATTTAGAAAGACGATGAATTGCCTAAATAGGATTTAATGCATTTAATGTTTGCCTTTTGTACATGATATCATCACAACAATTGTTCAAAATGTCTTCTGGCAAAAATTAAATGCATTAAATCCTATTTAGGCAATTCATCGTCTTTCTAAATTTTAACGCGTCTTAGGGCCGTAGTGCGGTAGTGACACTTTTCCGGACATGGGTCCCTATACTCAAATGTTTTCTACTGTTGCACTGAATAACCCCTAGAAGTTTGATCCCATAGTTCTGAAACACCCTGTATATACATATATATATATATGTATATATATATATCGCACTACTGATTAACTGAACTGATTAACGACGCGTGTTGATACTTTAAAGAGTTAACGAGCCGTTACGAGAACCGATGCACGATCAAGGTGCCTCGATTTTAACGGAGATTCGAGGCAATTAACGAAACGAAACCCACGCAAGAAACCGCGTAAGGCTCGCTGAGTTGCGGATACGTCGCGCTTGGACCGGTTTTCCGGTCTTTCTGACGTCATATCGCGATGTCATCGGCAAATTAGGCTACGATTCTAGTAGTCATCTCACTATAGTAATGACGCAGCGAATTTTTATGTTAAAAAACTTGATCACATATTAATAATTGTAATACACAAGAAACCGTTGAATTCTAACAGAATTTGATCTGTTGGAATAAATTTCTCTATGGTTTTTCGAAATTGTAAGAAATCTTATGTTTTGCACAAGTTACTTTCCTTTTTTTTTTTTAAAACAAAAAAACTCATTTTTGTCATCACATTTTCTGATCAGACACGGTTCTTTCTCGACTGCAGCATGAATGAAAACACAATGGACGTCTATATGCAGTTCTAGAAGATTATCGTCATAATTTTTTTGGTATATGAATTACTTTTAAGCGTACAAAATTTAACTACCAGAAGTTTTATTGCTTATTACCGTAAAGAATTTCGTTATTTTACGAAAACAAAAAAAGGAAATGGACTTGCGTTTTCTGTCTTGCCAATTGTTCATTCGTCGTTTTTACACCTTATAAGGGTTCATGACGAATAGATTCAAAAAAAATATCAACAAATTTTCTCTTCAGTTTGAATGACGCAATTTTTGTATAGTACGTGAAAGCGGAAAACACGGGGCTTTCTTTCATCTAATCGCAATACCTTTACCCTAACGGTAGTATCTTTACCGCATAAGAAAAAAATCGATTCTGACATTTCTTTATATTGTCCAAGTGGCTATAACTATCCTTCCGTTCCCCCGGAGGGGGCGCGAAGATTTAGAATACATTCGACTACTGGTTTTCTCTGACCGAATTCGATTCGGTTGTTTTTTTTTTGACTATAATTACGTGAATGCTGCATCTTTATGAGTTTGTCGTCTAGATTTTTTTTAATGTTAGAACAAAATGTGCGTGGTATTTCTTCTTGAGACATCCTGTGAAATGAATGACATCCTAACAACAGACTGTATTGAAAAAAGTGAATAGAAGAAGTAAGTGAAAAAATTGTCGCATATCGAAAGACACGTATTTTGACCTGGAACGATGGAACTGTTGGGAAGAAAGGGTTGCAAAGGGTTCGTGGGGGCGGCAGCACGACAACAGAAGCAAGAGCAGCGGTAGCAGCAGCAGCAGCAGCCTCCAAAAGCAGCTGCTTCGTATATCTCTCGGCAAGATCGGCGCACACCACACGAAACCTTAACACGTACCAGTACGTGTGGCTTACGCGTCTCTCTCTCTCTCTCTCTCTCTCTCTCTCCATGTGGCGCTCGTACGTGCACATACGAGATCGTCCCGAGCAGACACCCTGAATGCCGACGAGAGCATTCTCTAAATATTATCGCACAATATTTTTACCGCCTCCGCCGCGGCAGCGGAGAGTTATATGCGCCCACCCGACAGCCAGCAAATGCTGACGTTTCTATACGCATCTATCGATGTTTGTTTTTACATCGAACATATTTCCTCGGCTCGATTTCCTCCGCCATCGCGCGATGATATCACCAATTTTCCTTTTACGGGAACAATATACGTAAATCTTTTCTTACACGGATATTATTGTATTATTTATACAACTGAATTCTATTTATGAACAAGAGAGAGAAATGTGCAGAGAGAGACAGAGAATATTTCGCGCGTGACCAATGCGGAATGTAAACGCTCAAATAATTTTCAACATTTTCTCAACATTATTTTCCTTTGGATATCTGATTTTTTTGCAAGACTAAATCCTTTCAGACGGTTCTTTTTACGTCAGCACGTAGTGACGTAAAACGTGCGTATCGTTTTTGGGGAAAAACGGTGCAGCGAAAGGAATCAACGGGAAATTGTTTGGAGAAAAGGGATAGTGAAATGGGATAAAAGAGAGCAGAAAACAGAACGGGCTGCTTACAATTTGTAATCTTGCCTACCTGCGTGGCGCTTAGTCCGCCGCGCTCACGGGGATCGTCGAAAAAGCGCGACGACACAGAGCCCCGTGCAAGAACTAGTCCTCCCCTACGAACAGTTGACAGTATTTTTGTCGCGCGAGACGCCTTCATTACCTACACACTGGAGAGCTGTCGAGGACTCCCATTCAGAATCCCGGCTCATGAATACGCGCTCTTGCCTGGGAATTCGTGCGTGCGGACAATATTTCATTATCCGATCTTTTTCTTTCGTAGAAGAGCGACGTTCCCGACTGAATCTCACGTTTCTTGACTCTTTAGTTACCTAACGGTGTAAGAGAAGTCATTCTCCATTTGAAGAAGCTTTATTGTGCTTCTTTAGGAACGGTTAATGTATTCGCACACCCGCTGAAAAAATAATTTTCCAAGACACACATCGCCCATATCGCGTTGCTCTAAGCGATAAAAGGAAAAAATTTGTGTAAAACCAGACTTTTATGGAATACTTTTCTGTCTAGAAAAAAAAAAAAAAAAAAAAAAAAAAAAAAAAAAAGAATATATATGTTTTGAGGAGATTTTACATTAATAAGACATTTCGAACACAAAAAGTAAACGAGAATTAACTCGGGAATAAAGAATGTATTCGTCCCTTAATTAATTTATTCTAATGTAACGCGGCGTTCTTTTTTCTCAGCAACAAAAATAATTGGCCCCATAGGGAGTTAACGATATCGCGGAACATCTAATCTGACGGTTCGATCTTACGTCGGAAAGCCACCGGCACCGCCGCCAGTCTCGTAGATTCCACGAGGATCAAACAGCGCTCGCTGCGCGCTCCAACGAGATTTGTTACGCGCTTCTTTTGTTTTTTTTTTTTTTTTTTTTTTTTTGTTTCTACCACGTGTATATATTTCGACTCGAAATACGCTCGAGAGAGTTCGAGTGCCAATTTACAAGTGGTTTTTGTTTCCATTGTGATCGGGTGCTGGCGGCGCCATGAAAATGTCTGAGAATCCCCGACGCTTCCTCCATCGCGCTGTCTGCCTTCTCGATTTGCCCGCCGGAATTCCATCGCGTTCCCCGACGCGTTTCCGTTTCTGTACGTACGAATTGAACAGTGGGGGTCCAATTAAGAGGAAGCACGCGAAGGAAATCGCTTAGAGAAAGAGGTGGGAAGGGAATTGCGAGGGGGGCTTAAAGGAAAGGGAACGAAAGGTGGATGTGTGGCGCGCCGGGGGTTTGTCTGTATTTGTATATATACATATATATATTTCTCTCTCTTTCTACTTGTCTATGTATATACATATATGTATGTTACACCGCGATACGATCATCCATGTAGCTTTAATACCGCAATTATGTTGGATCCAATTATTAACGCTCTTACATATACGTGTGTGTGTGTGTGTTACAGATCAGACAAGAGAAACCCTACTACATTGCGGATCCGGAGGTGGACTCGCTGGTGAGTATTTCCTTATTTGCACGCCTCTATATACGTGCTCTCCCGATATCGCTTATCTGACGCGCATACGTAATTTCGTCCGACGCTCAGACACGTATCGGACTCGTCTAATCGCTCAATTTCCTTCCGAGATCGCGTTTGCACCTCGCGCACAAATAAGACGGTTTCGAACATGGATTCTCTCGCGATTCGAAACGTCGCTCATTCCCTCGCTTCGGGATGTATCGACGCTTAATTACGAAACCAATTAAATTGAGAAAAGGATGCTCCTCGGATTGCGAGACCGCGTTATCCGATCTAGCGGCGCGTAAATAGCGAAGAAGAGAAGAAGTCTCTCGTTTCGGACGCGTTTCGTCTTTCCTAACGCGCGCGCGCCTAATCGCTCAATTTCATCGGACGATCGCCCGTCGAGATACCCAAATACGCTCGGCCGACTTCAACGACGAAATAACGAGCTAGGAAGTAAGGTAACGACGTGCCAAGTCAGCGCCGTTTGTGCTCCGCGCTCGTTTATTTTTTTCTCCCACAGAGAGTGTAATAATTAACAGTATAGCGGTTATCGCATTACACGTGTTTCCATCCTATTCCGGTCGAAACTTACGGATTCGAAAATTTACGGGTACATCTGTGAGATATTTGGGCGATAAAGCAAAGCGTTTCCAGTGACCAGAACAAATTATCGCGTGTTATACTCGCGTCCTCGGCGAGTTTTTCAATAATGTTTGAAATCGTATAATTATTACGTATATTTCGTGTTCGTTAACGCAGATCGAAAACTGTGTAGTTTTAGTTTTTATCGCTATATAAATAATGCAACGTGACAGTTGAGTTCGGTGAGTACACCGGAAGACTGATGACACTTTTACGTAATTCATATGATAATTATTAGACGCACATGTAGCACACATACACACGCGCGCGACAACATTTTTTACGATATTGTTTTCCCGGACGTGTCGGCGGTTCGAAGTTTCGACGGGACCGTCGAAAAGTACGGAGGAAGAAATATTTTAGGCGACCCTCCGCGCTCTTCGAGATCGAGATAACGGGGTGGAGTGGGCTTTTTAAATAACTCCGAAGTGTGTATTTCTCGTCGGGCGAGAAAGCGCGTACATGCGTGTCCTTACCGTGATGTCAGGACAACTTTGGGCTAAACTCGTCACTGCGACATTTGTCAAGCAACGTTTTTTTATTTTCAAAAACTTTTTTCTATCTTTTTTACAGTTTTTTCTCGGGATTTGTGTTTCAATTTTTTTGCGAGGGTTTATAATAATAATAATAAAATAAGTGAGTTTTAATAAACACGTGTTACATAAAAGAATGACATAAGAGAATTGTAATTAGATTGTCCGGGATCATCAGTCATCAGAAATTTTAGATATTTTGAGACTATTTGTCCAAAAATAATGTCTGTGTGCGCGTGAAATATTATTCTTTGAAATTATCGAAACTTTTCTCGAGGATTTTCCTCGTTGATTTCAACAAGTTTTATTTGAACATAAATAAATGTGATGTGTGCGCATCTCTTGAAGTCAACAAGCTGAGTTAATGCCAAATTGCTATACGCTTAATTCGAATTTTTGATAGACGAAAGAAAGAGAGAAGCAAGCGCGTGATGACACGGTGAATACATTTCGTTGACGTTGTCCTCGCGCTGTTGCTCGCAATTTTTCGAAATGTCACGTCCGTTACCCCTGAGCCTGTCACGACCGCATCGAGTCGCAAATATTCGCGCAAGGTGACATTACGGCTCTCACCACCGGCTGTCACACGATCATTTTGTCGTCAGATTCTATTTAAACACCCGGAACACAGAAATACAGAAATCTTGTAATTAAAAATACAAATATTAAATATATAAAATATATTTAATATAATCCAAAATAAACAAAACATATAGTATAACGTGGAATAACAACTACAAAATACACTGTCTTTGTGTGGAAATTTCTACTTCCTAACTGTTAACCGAAATATTTATATAAATAATCTCGCACAACTAAAACTCGTGGATTTGTATTTTGTGACTTCGGACCGTAGGAGATAAAAAGTATCATCAGCATCCGGGATTGTTGTTCTTCGTGTCGATCCATGCGCCATAACTCTCCAATAGGCATTTGCAAACTGCCACCTCTGACAGGTGTTACGGGTAGTAAATCGAGAGGAATTAAATGGGCTCGGCGGAGAAAAATTTTTCGAGTAGTCTACTATTGCCAATCGCGACGCGACGTCAGGAAAAACGGCTCTTCAGGGCTGCTGGTGCTGCACTCGTCGTTGCGCTTGTACGCCGTCGGCGCAGTCACCGTTGCGTAGTCGCTTACCGTAGGAAGAACAGCGTAAGGTGGCGTGGCTTCATTACGTCCGTGGCAAATCGCAATCTACGAGCAATGAGCTTCTATCGTAAAGAAGAGGCAACGTAACGTTCGCAGTTTTTGCGCACCTCCGTCCGTTTCTCCATCCCCTTTTCTCTCTTTTATCTTTTCGATTCTTCCTCTTCCTTCTCTCAGCACTCTCGGGTTCTTTTCCTCTCTCGTCAGTTCTTTTCTTCCTCTCTCATCGTCCGGCCTTTCTTTCTTCTATCGCGTTCTCTATCTCCGGGAACGCCAATCGAGCGGTGTTTTTTGTCGATAATTTCGCAGAACGGAAAAGTCACCGAGTGAGATTGCTTTCCGAGCCGCCGATTCTTGAGAATCAGCAATATTCTCCCGATTTCTATGTCAGGAGCGTGACGAAGAGAGAACGTGTTGTGACGATTCTTTCTTCTTTTCGCCATTTCCATTACGCAGAACGAGTGCAAAAGGTCGTTGGGGCATAGAAAAATATCCGGGTTCACATCTTTGTGATCATTTTTTGCGGTAAAAATGCGAATTCTTTCGCAAAGAAAGGTCGGACCTCCTGCGCGCAAGAACACATCGTTGACCAATATCGACAATACAGACAAGCCAGTCGACTGTAAACGTGACTATAGACACGTCGACTATAAACATAAGGAAGTGATTTCCAAGACTGGTGATTTTTTTCAATCTTTTTTGGAAATTTTCCGAAAAGTTTTCTCACAGGGAAATATCTACAAAGCGTTTTTTTTGTAAAAATTTCGAGTTAAGTACCACATTTACGAGAATCTTCTTCAGGAACATTTGAAAGAGCTCTTGGAGCTCCGTTTCGGTGGATCGTGAGGAATTTTCTGAAGAAGCTAAACGGGAAAACCGCGCGCGACAAAACACCACGTGGGCGTCTTGTCGGATGAGGGTAAAAAAAGACGGGACCGGAGGACGCGTCGTCTTTCGCGCGTAGCGGAAGGCGGCAAAGCGAGCAACGCGAACGAATCGACGGGGCTACAAAACTGCGCGCGAGAGGAAGCCCCCCGTCTGTGTGCAACGAAGGACGCAGAAGAGTGAGGGCAAACGAAGAGAAGGTAGAAGTGGGGAGGGTCAACCCTCTTCGTACACGCGCTTAAATAATATTCCCATTAGCATAAGCGAGAAATGAGCCAATGAGATGCTAATTGCCGGTCTTGCGTTTGGAGAATAATTATTATTGCGAGGGCATTCTACGCTCTTTTTTCCCCTTCGGTCAGTCTTTGGACCTGTCTGCGTGATTTACTTGAGATGCGCCTCATGTACGCCTGAACGCGGCAAGAAGCAACATTAGCTCGGTTATTAATTTTTCAGATATTATAATTTTGGTGCGTGCGTTATATATTTCGTGATCCGTTTGTTGTTTCTCACGCAATTCGCGAATTTCGCAATTTCGCGCGGAAAGTACGCGTCAGTACATCAAGTCAAATCAGTTTCGGATTATTGCATATAGATACGCGATATCGCGCGAAACGAAACGTTTTCTTATCGCGGAATTAATGCCAGACTAGACTCGCGTCAATATATATATATATATATATACACATATGTATATCGCACCGCAAATGTCAAAATATGCGCGCGCTCTCTCTCTCTTTTTTTTGTTTTCGCAAAATTGCCCGCAATCTAAATCATTCGTTGAAGCGCCGTTGTTTCCACCAGCGCGATATAAAATACATGACGGTTTTACATATTGCGTCAAATTTATTTTACATTTATTTGCATCCAAGATTTTTTTTTTATTGCCGGTCGTGTAGAGGAAATTTTTAAACCGCCACGCACGTACAACGTTATATATGAATTTCATCGTATATATTTCAAGGTACAAAATGTTTCGTGATAAAAAAATTCAGGAGAATCATTAATCAATGGAATTTTGGTCTCGGCAGACGGACGCTCGCTCGGTCGAAACACATTTCATAAAATATTTTACGGTCTGTAATTTCTAAATCAAATATAGCAAAGTATATTAATAGTATACAAATAATTCTCTCTCTCTCTCTCTCTCTCTCTCTCTCTCTCTCTCTTTCTACACAGTTTACGTTCGTGCTTCATTGTTTAACAAAATTACATAGATCTTTTGCAGTTATATAGGACCACAATTGCATAATTTATTTCATTGCGTGTCGGCGGAAAGATTACACAAAATTGCACAGAATATACTTTGAGTCGGTGTATGAAATTACAGTAACGGGGATAGAGTCAAGAACACGTACATATATATATACGCGACGCAAGTAGTAGTACAAGAAACGGCGAGTGAAACCTTCGGCATCCTTTTCGCCGCGTATGCGTGTCGTCGCGCCGTCAGCACGCGATTAGCGCGCGTGTTTCCCAAGGCTCGGTTGCTGCGGGCAACATTATCGCCGATTATTGCAATTTTGTTACAACCTCCGTCGTCTCGCTGCGCCACGGCCATCGATACTTAGAAGATCGTCGACCGTCATCAACGCGACTTTCTCGTGATTTTCGTTTGGCATAATTAGAGAGAGAGAGAGAGAGACAGAGAGAGAGAGAGAGAGAGAGAAAGAGAGAATATGTCGACACCAGTATCCGCTGATTGAATCACGTTGATTCATTATTTAATATTCGCTCTTTCTCTGTTCGACCACGTGCGTACGAATCTTTTAGCGCTAATCCTAA